AAACTGCAGACATAGACCCACATAAATATAATCAACTGATTATTGACAAAGGAGCAATGGCCATACAATGAAGCAAATACATTTTTTTCAACAAATAGTGCTAGAACACAATGAATCTAGATAGACCTTACACTCTTCACAAAAATTAACTCAAAATGGATCACAGATCTAAATGTAAAATGCAAAACTACCCTAGAAGATAACATAGGAGAAATCCTAGATGACCCTGGGTGTGGTGATGACTTTTTAGATGTAACACCAAAGGCAAGGTCCATGAACAAAAGGAATTGATAAGCTAGACTTCATTAAAATTAAAAACTTCTGCTCTGTGAAAGACAATGTTAACAGAATGAGAAAAAAGTACATACTGGGATAAAATATTTGCAAAAGACACACAAATAAAGGACTGTAATCCAAAATATACAAAGAACTCTTAAAATTCAACAATAAGTAAACAAACAACCAGATTAAAAAATGGGCCAAAGACTTTAACAGACACCTCACCAAAGAAGATATTCAATGACAAAGAAGCATATGAAAACATATACTCCACAGCATATGTCATCAGGGAAATTCAAATTAAAACAGCAATGAGATACCACTACCAGAACTACCAAAATTTGGAGCACTGACAACAGCAAATGCTGGTGGCAATGCAAAATGGCACAGCTACTTCGGAAGATAGTTTGGTGGTTTATTACAAAACTAAACTTACTTTTACTATATGATCCAGGAATCATGCTCCTTGGTATTTACCCAAGGGAGTTGAAAACTTAAGTCCACACAAAAGCCTACACACAATACTCATAGCAACTTTATTCATAATTGCCAAAACTTGGAAGCAACCAAGATGTGCTTCAGTAGATGACTGGATAAATAAACTGTGGTATGTCCAGACAATGGAATATTATTTGTTACTAAAAAGAAACAAGCCATCAAGTTATGGAAAGACATGGAGGAAACTTAAATGTCTATTACTATGTGAAAGAAGCCAGTCTGAAAGGTCACATATCGTATGATTCCAGCTATTTGACATTCTCTGGAAAGGGTAAAACTATGGAGATAGTATAAAGATCAATGGTGGCCAGGGAGTGGTGGAGGGAATAAATATTTGGAGACAGGATTTTTAGGGCCATTAAAATATATTGTATGATACTGTAGTGATGGATACATGCCATTATACAATTGTTCAAACCCATAGAATGTCCAACACCAAGAGTTAACCCTAATGTAAACTATGGACTTCGGGTGATTATAATGGATCAGTGTAAGTTCATCAGTTGTTACAAATATACTGCTCTGGAGGAGAATGTTGATTATGGGGGAAGCTATGCATGTGTGGGTGCAGGAGGCATATGGGAAATCACTGGGCCTTTCTTTGTTTTGTTGTGAACCTTAACTTGCTCTAAAAAATTAAGTCTTAATTTTAAAAATCCCTCTGGCTGCTCAATGCAGAACTGACTTCTAGGTAAGGAAGAGTGAAAAAGACAGAGACCATTTACCGTGATCCGGGTGAGAAAGGGAAGTGCCTTGAACTAGGTTGGCAGTAACTGAGATGAAGAAAATTGGGCAGATTTGTAAGATATTTAGGAAATAAAACCTACGGGAGCTGGGAGAATGTCCACCATTTTCCAAAGGTCAGTTCATCCTGGCTTTCCAAAGCAAGGAGCTAGGAAAAATTACAGTAACAAAACTCCCTTGAAATTGAAGAGGAAGCCAATGGCAAAAACTTACCTTCACCTCAAATGTCCTGAGAGGACACCACTGGTTGCTAATTTGGTTGCAGTTTCTTAACTGCAAAGAAAAAGGAGAAGGAGAAGAAGGAAAATAAGAAGAAAAAAGATGGTACAGGCACATAATTTATGTAATAATCAACAGTGTCTCTTGATCTTTTTTAAAGCCATGGGAAGAAAATAAGATGAGAAGGGAGATCAGAGTTTAAATTCAGAATGAAGTGGATGCCCTATTATGTTCACAGTAGCTAGTCTTTCCTGACAAAGATATAAATGTTGATAACACCCCTTTTAAAAATAAAACATAACTGTGATTCTTTAGATTTGTGGAGTGCTTTCCTGTTTACTAAGTTGTTCCATCATCTTCTCTAACTACCACTTCAGTCTTCTAAGGCAGGTATTATTGGCCACAATTTTCTGATGAAAAAACTCTGAAGACAATTTTGGCATTGTAGAAGCAACATGAACTTTGGAATCCTTCAGACCTGGGTTTAAATGTCTGTCGGGCTGCCATTTATTTAATGGGCAACTTCAGAGAATTATTTCACAACTTAATTTTTTAAGGCTTCTTTACCCCTATCCATGGGTCATTTCACTACCATTAGCACTCCCTCCATGTACCCACCCCTCTATTGGGTGTAAATAAGAAGAAAACTCAAGTTAGTCACAGCACTCTAAATTGTCAGTGTCAGAAAGACCATCCAATCCAGCCTCTACCTTCTCCCCCCATTTCACAGAGCAAGAAATTGAAGCTGAGGAATTGGAAGAGATTCATTGTCAGTCTGTAGACAGTTCTCCTGTCTCTGAGACCTATGTTATTTTCATTCGACTTTCTCACCAGTCCAGCTGACTCAATTCCCTTTGAAAAATCCTAGTTAAGAGTTTTGGTGGAACTAGAGGGTGTGATGACTATTCAAATAAAGTTTTCAAAGTATCTGCGCATTTCAATTACATATTCCTGTTTCCTATTATAATGGGGAATTGAAAATTAGCCTTGTTACAATTTGACATGTCTAAGAATAAGGCTGCTTCTTTACCATAAGGGGTGATTTGTGAGATTCCTCACTAAAAAGGGCAGGGAGGGGTGTATTTGGGATATATCCAGGCAAGACTGAAGCCATTAAAATACCAGGGGATAATTTTCACCACCTCAGGTAAAAAGCTTCTTAGGTCTTTGCATTCTGGAAGGTTCATTTATAACTCTTGCCCAAGTGCCCTTGACATTGATTAATCTAGCTAAAATAGCAATGAGATGGAAGACTAGTTTAGGTTCTACTAATGTGGAACAAAGAACAAATTTTGTCCTTGTTTCAACGTCTTCATCTGGAAAATAGAGCTGATCATACCCAGTCTTCCCTGCCTGTGGGATTAAGTTACCTCCTTTGGTCAGGGTAAGTAAATGCCCATGATGCTTAGCTGTGAACAAGGTAAGTCTCTGTGGAAGCCTGTAAAAAGTAGAAGAGATCCACACAAAAATCTCCACCAACATTTTGGGAGAGACAGACCCTGCCCAAATCTAGAGGTGTAAGAAATTTAAAGGCCAGGGAGGCCCAGGGCCCCTGCTGACACAAAGGGAAACCTCCTTTCCCATAGGTCTACCTTGTCACTTCTACTCTTCCATCCCCATCTGACTCTCCATCTTTACAGAAGGACTATGTACCTCCTCCATAAAGGAGCAATTGCAATATCCCACTTCAACCCCCACTCCTGGCTGTCCACCAAGAAGAAGAAAAGCAGTCATATGTAGCTTCCATTCCTTGAATAGTGCAGTTTGCAAGCTTAAAATATGCAAGGCAACTTGGAAGAGCAAGAACACCGCTGCAGAACCCTGGACAAAATCGAGGTCCCTGTGTACATGACCAACGTTTCTGGTGTTTGTGTGTTTGCCTGCTTATCTGGGTGATTTTGCCTTTGCACGCTGGATAAATGAGAAGTGTACGTTTAGAGGCAATTAGACAGGAAAACAGGAAGGGAAGAGGGTAGAAATGACCTCTGATTATTAGGCAGAGGGTTCCTAGAGCAACTGGCATCATGCCACAAGGCCCAGTCTACCCCTACGGAGAAATTTGAAAGGTTTCAGCAAGTATCAGCTGCCTTGGCCATAGCTCCTTCCTCAGTTTGTAGGAGACCCTCCCGTCTGTGCTTCTGTCTGCTTTTGAACACATAGTCCCTCTCCTGACGCACTGGTACTCCTATCGCCCCTACCTACTCCCTTCCCCCTCAGACACAAGCAGAGTCTGTTTTGAGATTGGACTTCGGAACCAAATCTGCAAGGGCTGGCCTTCGGGAGCTCCGCTTAGCCCTGTCTTCAAAATAAAGCTCCGGGTTAAAGCTTCAGCTCTGGCACCTCAAGCCTGGTCCCGGAAAGTAAGAGGTATTCAGGGAGCTAGGGCTCTCCTGGGCTACAGCAATCCACTCCTGCCTTCACCCACGCTGCGCCAGCACTCATTTCTCCAAAGCCACCCGGCGTTAGCGCGCCGTGAGAGGAGGGGAGAAAATGAAAGGGGAGGGAGAAAGGAGGTGGGAAGGCAAGGAGGCCGGCCCGGCGGGGGCGGGACCCGACTAGCAAACTGTTGCATTTGCTCTCCACCTCCCAGCACCCCTTCCGAGATCCCAGGGAGCCAGCGTTCTGGGAGAGCTGGAGGGTCCCGAGCAAACCGGGAGGCAGAGGAGGCAACAGAGGAAAGCGACGGAGCTAGCCGCTCCAGTGCCGGACAGGAGCTGAAGGGACGTACCGCGTCAACCCCAGCTGGGCTCCGGCGACAGCGAACGCTTCTTGCAGCGCGGTGGCTTGAAGCCGCTGCCCCAGAGCTGCCCTTTCCTCTTCGGTGAAGTTTTCAAAAGCAGCTAGAGACTCGGAGGAAGCGAGGAAAGTGCCGGGTAGGACTGACGGCTGCCTTTGTCCTCTTCCCCTCCACCCCACTCCCCGCCCTGTGTCTCCTCTCCTGTTGCTGCCTCGGCCCGCTCCTCTCTGCCGGTCCCCCTACCCCCGCCCCAGTCGGCCCAGCGCGGCCAGCCCGAGTTTGCAGAGAGGTAACTCCCTTTGGCTGCGAACAGGCGAGCTAGCTGCACATTGCAAAGACGGCTCTGGGGAGCCGGGCGACCAGCGAGCCGCTTCAACACTGCAGCTGGGACCCAGGTAGTTAGGCGGTACGCGGGGCTGGCCCCCAGGTTCCCCTCATTCCCTTTCCATCTCCTGCACGCAGCAGCTACATTCCCCCCCCCCCGCCCTCCGCGCCCTCAGTTTGCAGGGCCAGAGACCAAACAATGAAAGGGCAGGGGGCAGTGAGGGCTTCAGTCGACAATTAAAAACAAAAGCAAAAACAACCGAACCAAACAAAACAAACCTCCAAACCCAAAATAAAACAAAAAGAGAATAACCCGGTTCCTATTTGCACCTGCTTCAGTGGACACTGAATTTGGAAGGCAGAGGGTTTTCCTTGTTTTTGTTTTGTTTCCTTCAAGACTTGGGCATCTTTTGACTCAACCCTCCCAAGATTTCAGGAACAGACTGTGAGCCTAGCAGGGCAGATCGTGTCCAGCGCGTGTTTTCCTGGGCAGGAGACTTCGAGGCTGTCAGAGTGCTGTTGCGTGGTTATTCCTGCAAGTTTCCTTCCCAGGAGCTTCCCGCAGGTGGGCAGTTAGCTGCAGTGACTACCGCATCGCAGCCTGTTGAACTCTTCTCAGCCAGAGAAGGGGAAGCGGAATAAAGGAATTAGGCGGAAGAGTCAGCCAAGCTCAAGAATGGAGGTACAGTTAGGGCTAGGGAGGGTTTACCCCCGGCCGCCGTCCAAAACCTATCGAGGAGCTTTCCAGAACCTGTTCCAGAGCGTGCGCGAAGTGATCCAGAACCCGGGCCCCTGGCACCCTGAGGCAGCGAGCGCAGCACCTCCCGGCGCCCGTTTGCAGCAGCAGCAGCAGCAGCAGCAGCAGCAGTCGCCGCAGGAGATCGGTCCTCGGCAGCAGCAGCAGCAGCAGCAGCAGCAGCGTCAGGGTGACGATGGCTCTCCCCAAGCCCAGAGCAGAGGCCCCACAGGCTACCTGGCCCTGGACGAGGGACAGCAGCCAGCCCCCAAGGGCCATCCGGAGACCGGCTGCGTTCCAGAGCCTGGAGTGGCTTCAGCCACCGGCAAGGGGCTGCAGCAGCAGCAGCCAGCACCACCGGACGAGGATGACTCAGCTGTCCCATCCACGTTGTCCCTGCTGGGCCCCACTTTCCCGGGCTTAGGTAGCTGTTCCACCGATCTTAAAGACATCCTGAGCGAGGCCGGCACCATGCAACTCCTTCAGCAGCAGCAGCAGGAGGTAGTAGTATCGGAAGGTAGCAGCAGCGGGAGAGCGAGGGAGGCCGCTGGTGCTCCCACCTCCTCCAAGGACAGTTACCTAGGGGGTAGTTCGACCATCTCGGACAGCGCCAAGGAGTTGTGTAAGGCAGTGTCGGTGTCCATGGGCTTGGGTGTGGAGGCATTGGAGCATCTGAGTCCTGGGGAACAGCTTCGGGGGGATTGCATGTACGCCCCGCTCCTGGGAGGTCCACCCGCTGTACGTCCTTGCGCCCCGCTGGCCGAATGCAAAGGTTCTCTGCTGGATGACGGGCCAGGCAAGGGCACCGAAGTAACTGCTGAGTATTCCCCTTTCAAGGCAGGTTATGCGAAAGGATTGGATGGCGACAGCCTGGGTTGTTCGGGCAGCGGTGAAGCAGGGGGCTCCGGAACACTTGAGCTGCCATCCACCCTTTCTCTCTACAAGTCTGGAGCACTAGATGAAGCGGCAGCTTGTCAGAGTCGCGACTACTACAACTTTCCGCTCGCCCTAGCCGGGCCGCCGCCCCCTCCGCCACCTCCCCATCCTCACACCCGTATCAAGCTGGAAAACCCGCTGGACTATGGCAGCGCCTGGGCGGCTGCGGCGGCACAATGCCGTTATGGGGATCTGGCGAGCCTGCATGGCGGGGGTGCAGTGGCACCCAGCTCAGGCTCACCCTCGGCCACCGCCTCCTCTTCCTGGCACACTCTCTTCACAGCAGAAGAAGGCCAGCTGTACGGGCCCTGCGGCGGGAGCGGAGGCGGCAGCGCTGGTGAGGCAGGGTCTGTAGCCCCCTATGGCTACACTCGGCCACCTCAGGGGTTGGCAGGCCAAGAAGGTGACTTCCCTCCACCTGATGTGTGGTATCCCGGCGGTGTGGTGAGCAGAGTGCCCTATCCGAGTCCCAGTTGTGTCAAAAGCGAGATGGGCCCCTGGATGGAGAGCTACTCCGGACCGTATGGGGACATGCGGTAAGTTTCTCCTAGACATGTCTTTGAATGTAGAGTTAGTCGGCGTTCCGGGGTATCTCTCCTCTCCTACCTGCGGGAACACTCTACCCCTGCAAGAGCTCAACAGTGTTCCATAAAAAGGGCCGTTCTGAATCTGGAGCCTTCTGGGTACTCCTAGCCTGCCAAAGATAAAACCGTTGTGCTCAGAACCCCCACTGTGTGCACCAGTCCCCACCACTGAGAGCCCTGGGTGCTGGAGTGTGCCCTTCCAGATACCTTAATAACACCTCCCCCATCTCCAGCCTCTTAAAATCCTGAGTACCTCATGGTGCTCTATGTCCCAAAGGCTCCAAACTTAAATCCAGTAGTAAGAGCCACCTTCAGAAATAAAGCTCCTAAGTCCTCCAGTACTTTTTCTCATCCCTCTTCCCAAATCCGAGAACCTAGACAGGAAATATGGGCAGTTTCACCTCTTAGAGTGTGTTAGGGTTTGCCCTCCAGCCTGTGGCCTGTCTTGGCAGGTTAAAGGCAAAAAGACTGGCCCAAACTTTTCTCAGTTCGCCTCCTCCAAAGACATAAAATGGAGGTGCCGGATTAGGGAAAGAAGGTCTGAGTTCTCTGGGTTCTGAGGGACGCTGTGTGAAGACAGGGTGAAATTCCTTCCCTGGCAACAACTGAGGAGTTGCCCCAGAGTTGGAAGTCAGCAGAGAGAATACAGCCAGGCAGGAGTAGAGCAGGCAAAGGTAGAGGACAACTTTCTTGGTAAACACTGGGCAGTATTTGCTCTCACAGGTTGACCATACTGGACGTAACTGCTTGGGTCGGTCTTCTCTTGTAAAGAGTTTATTTTCTCTATGGAGTACAGCAGATCCACAGTCCCCTACTTCAAGTTTGCATCAGATCCATAAAAGAGGATAATGTTCTTTTAATGAATAATTTAGCCAGGCTTGAGTCTGACTTATAAAGTGTTGGAAATTTTTTTTAAAGAATTTCCTGCTATTCCAGTGTGCTCAGAAATTGCTTTTGGGAGGGAGGAGTGAGGTTCTTCAATATATTCCTTCATTTTAAGAATATGCTTGCATTTTTTTTATTAAAGTATAGTTGAAATACAGTGTTATATTAGACGTGCTTGCATTTTAAAACATGAGCTGCTACCTCTAACAAACTTAGTTAAGAACTGTTAGGGACCTATGAGCCATAATTTTGCCCATGAGTTTTAATTAGGACATGAGAAAAGTGGTGGTCAATTTCACCTTGCTTATTAAAAATTCTTCCTACATTTGTTGAGCTTCTTGGAGATCATGTTGAAGATTCTCCCCCCTCCCCACCCCAACAAAGATACTAGTTTATCTCCATGAGGGAGGGAATACTGACCAAGGAACTAACTCCTCAGGTGTGCTGGGTACTTATGTCCCCTTGGAGTTGTGTCTTGTTATGTTTTGCTTTAGCTGTTTTGTTTTATCTGTGACTTTTCCAAAATTTCTTTGTTAGCCTTAACATCTTTGGCGACTTAAACCCAACAATTTGCCTCCTTTCACTGATGCTTTTGTTCTTGGAAGGTTGATAGAACAGTGTTAGGACAGAACGAGAAGGATAGGATTTCATAAAGTATTATTTTTTGGGCTATTGAAGAAACAGCTTCTTACCAGCCTTCACATCCTAGTATTAGATTTTAAGTGTTTAGCTTACAGGATTTTCAAAGGGTTTATTTATATCATCAAAATGTTTTCCAGTTAGTTTGGTTTTTAAAAAATTATTTTTGCAATGTGGTTATACCGTGGAATTTTTCTTTGTTTTATAAGAACAGATTTACTTGGTAGGGTTAATTTTTTTCCCCTAGGGTTGTTGCTAGTCAGTTCTACTGTGAACTTTTTTGAGGGATGGGGATGTCTCAGGTGCTTCTTGACATAACCATGATGTTAAACTGGAACCTTTTCTCTTCCGCACACCCTCCCCAACAACTAGCTCAGTTAATAGGGAGGAAATGAGCAATTCCACATCTTTGTTAAGGGATGGGTTTCTTTTTTTGAAGATTTTATTTACTTATTTGACAGAGAGAGACACAGCCTGAGCCGAAGGCAGACACTTAATGACTGAGCCACTCAGGCGCCCCAAGGGATGTGTTTCTTTGAAAATATAACCTGAGAATTTCAGGAAGTAGATATAGAAAGCAAAAAGTTCTTCCCATGAGGTGTGCAGTAAGCTAGGTTATTTTATCCCAGGTCTTAGTGGGAAAATTTCTCTGTTAGAAAGACCTGCTTAAATTAATGACCTTAACTAGTGAGAATTTAACAGTACCCAAAGAAAGTAAAAGATTATTAATCTTCCCTGGTTTGTGGTTGCAGCACTGGCTATGAGAGTCTAGTGAAAGGGAAAACTGGCATTCCTGTCTTGTGGGTTGACAAAGGATTTTCATTTCTAGGATATAGAAAATCGTTGAGTCAGTTTTTTGAAAATTTATCAATTTCATCAAAATGCGACCAACCCCAGTCTAAAAGTTGACATTTTCTTACTTTATCTTTCTTTCCCTCACTTTGTTGGGGCACAATCTGGTGAAAGGCAAGGGATTTTTTAAGCCAAAGCCAGAGCTTCCACCCTGTCTGTATTGCATGCATTATGTGCTAAATTTGAGTTAAAAATCTAAAAATTCTAGAGGCTTCCAATAATGTCGGATTCCTCCTTTCCCAAGTGTGTGTGTGTTCATACACATTAGTTAATTGGGGGGGGTTAACTTTAGTAACTTTTGGAATAACTCTATGTTCTTACACATCTTCAATGTTTCTGCTCAAAGGAGAGAGGTGGAAGGAGAGAAACTGAGGGTGGTCCTTTAAAAACAACAACAACCCCCCACAACAACAACAACTTAATTTAGCATGTGCTTTGAACAGAAGGAAGAATAAAAAGTGATGGGGCTTCTGTACAACCCTGATGATATTTAATGGAGCTGTCTTCTTTCAGAGATCAAACAAGACTACAACTTTGTTAATTGACCACCTGCCCACTTGCCAGAAGTAAGACCTTTTATATTCCAGCAAGCAGCACAATAATATGAAAAAATATTCTTGGGAGCTGAGGCCCAAGGAAGCAAGTGCCAGAATAAGAGTTGGGATTTAGATTAATTATCTGGATGCAAAAAGAATTTTTCTCTTGGTAATTTATTCTGATCTTTATAATAGGTAGTATTTTTGTAGTGCTTTGAGATTGGCAAATCCTGCTTTTTCCCCTCTTAGTTATTTAAAAAGAAGGCATTTTATTAATCCCCTTTCCATCTCCTCTTCCCTCTTTAGTTATCAAACAAGTTTTTATGACTATTTTGCAAGGAGCGTTTTTTTTTTTTTTTTCCTAACGCAGAATTTTGCTTTGGGACCGAGATAGTCTGACGCTTTCTGTCCATAGTCCTTGAGAGTCAGTATGTTGGAAAGAAGCATCCTTTCTCCATTGTCAGCAAATAACTAGTGAGTTATGTTTGAGTACCAGTGATCAGAACCAGAGGATCAAGTAGCCACACTGGGTGGGACCCCATTTGGAAATATGTGCAAGATGTACTGATGGAAGGCTCCTCTTTGTTGTCCACAGAGTATCTCTTTTAGCTCGGCCAAAGGTTAACATCAGTAAAAGATATTTTCTAAGAAGCTTGTAGCCTTCCAATTGCAGGGTCACTTTGGGGCACTTTCTTGCCAGGGCTAATTTTACCTCATCAGAGTTCCATTCTTTGAGTTGTAAACTTTGATATAATATATTGAATTTGCTGGCACATTAAATTTTCTTTTTTTAAGTGTTTTTCTTCCCTGTAATAATTTTCTCCTGTGGTGTACATATACACATTTAAAACAATGAATCCTTAGGATTCTGACTCCTACTTGTACTGTGACTGCTCTTGGTGGGATTATGAGTTGGAGTTAGGAACCTGGACACTTTTGTTATTTTTTTTCCCCATGGTGGTACAGAGACCACCAGTTTCATTTGGAAGTCTGCTCAAACAGGGAACAGAATGTAGGCTGGGAGTGGCAAGCAAGGGACTTATTTTATAACCAAACCTGAAATCATGATTCTGAAAAATGAAAAGCAAACAAAAATCAAGTTTTGTGAGGTTGGTCAGAGAGGGAAAAGGAAACTTCTCCCCACCCCCTACCTCCACCATTTTCTCTTTGTCTGCAGCTTCTTCAAGTGCTGCCTGTCCCGGATTTTCTTTCATTTCTCTCTTTTCATGCTTTTAACTAAATGGAAACATAGACATTTCTTTCTACTTTTCGGGATATTTTCCTCATTACACCTGTGGCGTGCTCCTAAAGATTTTTTTTTTTTTTTTAAATCTGGAAAGTAACCGATCAGATCAACGCCAACCCCTCTCTTAGGGCTAGATGACTTGAGGGGATTGCAAAATTAATAGCTGGGCTTTTTTAGCCTCAGGTTAGAGCCTGATTCAACAGTTGCTGAGGGAACTGAACTAGATGGCTTGAGGCCTTGGTGATTTAATGAAATATTTTGCCAGCCCAGCCGCTGTCTCTCTCTTTTGATCTCTGTCTCTGTTTACTGGCCATTTTGGCAACCTTTTCTCAAAGCCTGAAAATAACCGGACCCTCACTGAGACTGTGCTGGGTCAGACCTCCACCACACTTTCACAAGCAATACCTAAATCTGTGTGTGAGGATGCTTGTTCAAAGTGTCTGGCTGGGCTAATAAATATGCTGATGCTATGTAAAGTAATCATTTGAAAACAAAGAAAGATATTGAAGAAACTGTTCTACCTCAGACTTCCCCTACCAGCATTCCATCAAGTTCTGAAATGTTGAATTCAGAGTTAAGTTATCATCATCTTAAACACAAAGCTCACCTTTTTATTTTTTCATTGCTTGTAATGTAACTACAGTTACCAGTATGGGTTGGCATTTGTCATATTGAAGAGAATTATGAAATCTTGCATTTAGAGCACCCTTTTCAAAGAAAAGACCCAGTGTCTTATAGTTTACTGGCTAAAGCATAAGTTTGAGTAGGCCAAGAGGATGCTTAGCAAACGAACA